TTAGAAAGGATGTTGTATTTACACTGGGGAAATGACACACTGATTAAAATGTTCAACATTAACAACAGCGAAGTTGTGAATTCCGCTCGGATAAAAATGTATAAATTGAAGCAAAATCTGCGTGCGTATACACACAGGAAGTTTCATGTTTTCCATGTGAGTGTCAGGGCCCAGCACTCGGGAAACACAAATAAATCACTGCCTCTCCAACAAGTATGTCGTACGAGTCGTTTAACTGGGAGCTTGATTCGAAGTCAAAGTGCATTTGCTTCAGAGTCAAGGAACCAAACATCTGCACACAATTAGGCCAGATCTGTAAAATGGATGCATAAGCAACTCGCAGGTTCTGGAACAAGACCCAGGTCCAGAGGTGGATGAACAACCAGAACTTTCTGTACAGCCTGTAAAGAAGTTTCATGCTGCTACAAGAACATTACAGCAGGTTGATTACAACCTGCCGACTTTGGTTTGGAACCGGTTGATGCCTTTCTGCCTTTGTCCCTAAAAGGATGGTTGATCCAGGCTGTGATATCTGCATCTTTCGGCCATACACATCTGACTTCAGAAAACTCTCAATTAGACGCCTTTTACGACACACTTGTTAGGTAGGGGCTAGTGGATCTATTCTCCCCCCAAACAGGAGGAGGAGTAGGATCATCCACTTGAACAGGTCAACCATTGTTCAACCCAACTGACAACTCTCAACATGTATAATGGCAAATCATTACCCAGGTGCACTTGTAGAATATTTCTTCAATTGTGGTGCAGATGAGATAACAGTTCTCTTGAATGATCTCCTACCACACACAAACCTCACAAACGACGGTAACATAAACATTTTGGTTTTCTGTTGTACAGAATACAAGCAGGGATAGGCCTTGATGGGTGCATGTTGTCTATGTGGACGTGTGTGTGTGAGGTGGTGGTAGGGGGGTACCATATTCACATATAAAGTGAAGGATCATTTCTAGCTGGAAATCAGACATATGATGCTTGTATGTGAACAGATCTTATGTCGAATGTGGGGCATATAACAGATCACAACTGTACAGTTATATAGAGACAGTGAGAGAGCGACAGACAACACAATGACGACTGGTAGATGACTTTGTCGCCGGCCGAGACAGTATTTGGGTCTGTCTCCTTTGATCGCATTAACACTGCAGGAGTCCTTTTCAGGGCTCTTGGTGGTGTGCAATGCTAACCAATTTAAATAGCGAACATAACCTAGTCACAATTATAACCTAAAGCTCCCCCCTGGTTGAACATGATGATTCCCCCCCCCCCCACCCCCCAGCAAAGCAAGGGAAACAATGAAAAGGCATAGAGTGAGATAGAGTGCGAGAGAGCGACTGAGTTTGTGTATGTGAGGTAGCTAACAGTGTTAATAGCTGCTCATGTGTGTTACTCAAGATGGCCTCATTCTGACTGACTATGAGGGGAATATGTCTTATTCATTCTGAGTTTCTGTGTGTGAAGATGGAAAAGTATATCAGATAATCATGGAGGCCTTGTGTGTGGGTGGGGTGTCTCTCTCTCCGTCTATATATATGGGGAAGGGGAGGTGGAAATAACATCACAGCTGTTCATTTCTTCCACTCAAGCGGCCCTCATTTTGAAAGTGTGTGGTGGCGAAGGGATGCAAGTTAAGGGCAATGGGAGGAATGAGCAGGTGGAGGAGGGAGAGATCACAGTTGCTCATATACTGAAAGAGTTCGTATCTACTCCGGCGAGCACCAACACAGATCTGGAGTGCGGGCTACAAAAAGGTTTCTCTGCTAGATATCTATACTGCCCTGGCGTACCGGGTACTTGGAGCCTCGCGGCGAAGTGTGTGTGTCGTGGTGGTGGTGGTGCTGGTCGTCATCACCGTTGCGGTCACTGTCGTAGTCGTCGTGGTGGCGGCTGCTGCCCTGCTTGTCATGGTGGTGATGGTGGTGGTGGTGGTGTTGGCTGGAATCGCGGCGGTGGTGGTGGTGTTGGTGATGTCGGTCGCTGTCTGGAGAGTGGACTCTGTCCAAGCTCCCAGAACGACTGAAACCATAGAATTACATCTATCAGGCTTACATCCACAGCCTCTGCATACTAAAGACAGTCATAACATAACATCTATATGATAAGAGAGACAAAACATCTACATTTGATAAGACAGACAAAACATTTACATATTATAAGACAGGCAAAACATCTACATATGAAAAGACAGCCATAACATCTACATATGATAAGACAGACAAAACCTTTATATATGGTATATAGAGCCCATATGTTTTGAAAGAGCTGGGAGCTCAAAGACAACTTATCACTAACATAATAATTTTTTGGTCATGTTATGAGAAGAGGGAAACTAGAACATGTTGTTACAGCTGGAAGGAGAGAGGAAAACATTGCAAGAAGATTCTTGACAACCTTTTGTCATGTCATGAAGGGATGATGATATGAATGAGTGAATGAATCAGTCAATCAAGAATTCACATCACTGATCTCAGGACAACCCCCCCCTCCAACTTCCTGTTGAATTAGTCTTTCAATTTATGGATTTCCTATGTCTTCTTTTGCACTGTCTATCTGATCCCATAGAGCCTTCGGTACAATCACATTATCATGTGGTAGCTCACCACCCAGAGGAGCAGCAGCAGCGGCAGCAGCCAGTCTATCAGCCTGCTTGTTACCTCACACAGCTGAATGTCCTGGACAGAAAATCCATGATATGCTCTTGATCTGGATGGTATCAAGTGATACAAGTCACTCTGCACGCAGTACACCAGTTTCAATTTTCCAAAGTATGTTTTATTTTCAAATGAATTTTAACTTTAATTCCACTTCTTTGATGGTTCTCAAACTTTTGATGGCATATGTTACGAGTTGACATAACATCAGAATTGAAGATTCGTAGTTTGGTCCATTCACCTTTGCAATTAAACCCCAAGCACTCGCACTTTCCTTTCTCTACACACCCATCTGTATATATTATGATGTTACCTGGGCAGGAATTTTCATTGATCAACTCTTGCACCCTCAGTTCAAAGTAACTATCATTCTGTGCAAGTCTCTTTTGCTGGGCCACACTATAACCCTTTCCTCATCACGCACTATCTTGTCAGCAGCACAAACTGTTCTGATTGTGACTTCTGTCAGTGCCATCCAAGAGCCACCTCTTTTCAGCCATTGTCCCTTGTTATTCCCTAAGACCTCATGCAGAAGGTGTTCCCTGTCTGTTGAGACTTTTAAGGTGAATTTTTGCCTGTAAAACCTTGTATCTCTCATATACAGATGGTAATGCAAGTATGTGCCGCAAGCACACAACTGGCTTCTGTCTCATGTAGACCCCAAAATGACTCGCATGGCTTCAGTTTGTATACATTCCAACCTCTCTATCTGAGCATGAGTTAATGTTAGCAGTCCCAAACCAGACTCCATCACCTAAATAATTAGCTGCTGGTAGAGTGTATAGCGCATTTTCTGTTCCATGCCTGCTGACGCCATCACCTTCAAAGCATTGAGTCCTTTCCCAATCTTTCAAACTACCTCTTCCACATGGTGTTTGAAACACAGACTAGTCAAAAGTAATTCCTAGATATTTTAGTGAATTATCTCTCCTTATATTAGTGCCGTTAACTGTGATATCCGGCAACACATATCTAACAATTCTATTATTTAAAGCATACTACAGTATTGCCACCTTATCTGGGCTGATGACCAAGCTTGTTTCCTCACACCACTCACTGACTTTATCTATCGCTAAATACAGGTCTCTAGATATTTCTAATCTATTTCTACCCTTGTGTGTAGACATCATCAGCAAAAGTCAAGATTCTCCCTATACCCACTGTCTCTACTGTCGCAATCCTACTTGTGTATATATTGAAAAGCACTGAGGAAACCGTGGAACCATGTGGGAGACAAAGTGCGATACTGCATGGTTGAGAGCTCCATGAGCCTAGGTGAAAGACAATCTGCTGTTCTTATAGGACTGCTGCAAACTAATTGACAATCCAGGAACTGACCTCCATATCCATAAGTGTGTACAGTAAATGGAGGGGTGTCAACACATAAATGCAGTTGCAGATTGTGGAGAGGCATGATTGCCCACACTTTCAGGTGGCATGGTGCTCGATGATGATGGTAGATGGGTATAACCTCTACATTTTTCTGTGTTAATTCTGGGGCTCTATTTTAGGGAACAAAGAAGAGAATCACTGTTTTCCCAGCCCTCCCCCGCCCCCCCTTTCCTCCTCCAACAATCATGTCATAGAAGGCAACAAATTAGAAGTGCTTCCTTTAAAGTCTGAGTGCATATGCCTAAGATGCCATTATATTTCTTCAGATGCAGCTCAGTATGGCAGTTGATATGCTGACATTTTTATCAAATGGCCAAACCGTCTCATCCGTTGCTCTATAATTAAAAGTGAAAGTAAAGATCCCTTTTCACGCCTTAGGCGCATCGGGCATATGGGAAGAGCACCCATATTTTTTATTTCTTCAGATGCAGCTCAGTGTGGCAGTTGATATGCTGACATTTTTATCAAATGGCCAAACCGTCTCATCTGTTGCTCTATAATTAAAAGTGAAAGTAAAGATCCCTTTTCACGCCTTAGGCGCATCGGGCTTTTGAGAAGAGCACCCATATTTTTACAGACCAATCGGCACTAGGTGGGTAATGTGGTCAGCATTACACTGACTGTCTTTACTTTTCCATGACGTACATCCTGGTACCCACTATAGGCTGGGTCAACCTGCGATGCCCCGTACTAGGATAAAAATCCATGCAACCAGCAGTGGGTTTTGACTGCGGTACGTTGGAATCACGAGTCGGACTCGCAATGTCTAAGCCAAGGAAGCAGCTGTTGCTCTATAATTAATTAAAATTTTTTACCAAACTAAAAATGGTGCTGTGAGATGTTAAGCTAGTTTGACAGACAAAGCAGGTTTTTGGAAAACACTAAATGACATACAAACAGAATAAATAAACAGGCAGTTTTACAGCGAAGCAAACAAACCTTTGTGTCATATGACTCCCCGAGACTGTGTTGTGGCGGGACAAAGCTGACCCTGAGGGACCCCTGTTGGGGCTCTGGGGAGAGGGCGGGGTCATGCCAGGTGGGTGTGTGGCCCTCCAGTAGGCTTCCAGGAACTCGGCGAGATGCTCGCAGGCATCATCCAGCTGGTTCTCATCAAGTATCACATCAAACATTTCCTTCAGCACACAAACAGAAACAATCACGATAAACTAAAGTATACTAACAGATGACATAAAAAAAATATTAAACAGAAAAAAATGATAAGAAATGTAGGCAAAGTAGCAGATCACACCAAAAGATAACAACGAACACAGACTAGTAAGTAAAAAAAAAAATCATTTTCACACCAGAAGCACATTGGTCCTATAATGCTACTCAAATTCAAGTTACGGAAAATGAAAAATATCTTATGCTCTCCTTCAATGTCAGAAACAGAGTGCTAAAATGTTACACAGAACATGTTCTGCTGTACAGTAGTGAATCTTGGAACGTCACTGAACAAATAAAAAAGAATTTGGAGCAAAAGAGATGTGGTTTCTGAGACGAATGTTACGAATACTTTGGATGACCAGAGTAACTAACAACGATTGCTTGAAAGAAGCTAATGAAAGTAGATCTCTATATACAACAATAGCAAGGAGGCAACCACTATTCTTTAGCTACTTAATGAGAAGAGAGACATTGGAAAACATCGTGACAACTGGACAGATCAGTGGAAAGAGGGGTAGAGGCAGACCAAGAGAAATCTTCTTCTTCTTCTTCGCGTTCACCAGCTGTATACTCTGGCGGAAAGTTCTGGTTGCTCGTCCACTACTGAACTGCAGTCCTACTCCAGAACCTGAGTGTTCTGTGTGCATCAGTGTTACAGATCTCATTCTCTTGAATACAGACTGTTGGTTCCTTGCCTCTCCGGCAGATGCACTCCGACTTCAAAGAAAGCTCCCCAATCAGTCGACTCTTACGACATGCTTTTGGGGAGGCAGTGGGTCCATTCTTGTTTTCCCCACAATGGGGCCCCGGAACCAACACGGGGGCCCCAAGAGAAATGATGCTGGATGGGCCAAAACGATGGCATGGAGGGATATCATCAAGAGAGCTGTTGCAGGCAACCAGGGATCGTGATCTGTGGAGACGCATTAGCACCTACGCCAACTGGCAGGGCACATGATGAAGATGATGAATTAATATTTAGTTGTTGTAAATTATATTTAATGTTACCTGGTGAAAGATTACTGAATGAAGCGATATATTACAGAATTATGGTCAGAAGGGCAGTGCTGGATAGGCCTGTGTGCCAAATTCTGAAACCTTTGAAAAAAAAAAGGTTTATTCATTCTACAGAGTGCCTGGCCATCTGCTAAGAGCAATGGATAAATTCGCAAAACAAGTACCCCACAGCTTCAGAGACAACATCCGGGGATTTCTCAGGAAAAAAAAACAATTCCACTGTACTCATGTCTTGACTGCTCCACCTTAAAGACTCTCAAGTTAACAAGTATTAATGTGTGAGACCTTTGAACTCCCTGTGTGCATTCCAGGGCCTCATTCTGGGGGAGGAGGGACCCATTGCTCCTTTAATAAGCATGCTGTAAAAGTTGACTAACTAGTCAAGAGTACATCTGCTTGAGAAGTGAGGAATCAACAGTCTCCACAGAAATAAGTCAGGTCTGTAAAACGGATGTGCAATGTCTGTTGGAGTTCACACAGTCGGCAAGCACAAAGAAGAGGAAGAAGAAGAATAAAATGAAGAAGTAGAAGAAGAAGATAACATGTGAACCTTCAGGGAAAAAAACCATAAAGGAATGGTTAAGCTAGGTACATATCAGCACAGTGACTTGCTCCAAAGGTAGAGCTGGAGTATTATGGCACTTACCGGAGCACACTGTGCCAGTTTGTCAGCCGCCACCAGCTGGACGTTCATATTTCGAGACTGTGACTTCCCCCTGGATTTTATCAGTCTCTGTAAAACCTGGATTTCAACAAAAACAATACTGTGACTTTAAATGATTTAAAAAAAAAAAAAAGGATAACAGAATGCTTTTCCTTCTGGTGCATTTCAAAAGTCAGACAGCCATCTTTAAAATGTCATTATGATGGTGTGTTTGTCTGCATTGTAATGTCACAAGCTTAACACCCTTGACATCCTTAACACACACAAAATAACAGGTTAAAAGAACAATGGCATGGTTATTATCATAACCATCATGACTGTTACAGGCAATGAGTCATATTACAGTAGTCGGTACCAGATGGTCTCTGCTAACGTTGAAACGTTGAATATTGGCCGGCATATAGTGGTAGCTCGACTTACAAATTTACTACATTCTTGACTGTGGTTTGCATCCAGAAAGATTGGATCTTGAAACCCAATTTCCCATAACATATTATCAGAAATCAATGAATCCTTCTCGGATAAAAAAAAAAAAAAAAAAATAACAATAATAATAATAAAAGCTCTGATTTTCATACGGGTAAACCAACATAGGTTTCATCTTCAGATCATCACAAGCACAGAAGAAGAAAGTCATTTCTAATTCTGTACATAAAATAATGCATTTACTGAATGCACAAGCTAACAAGGACAAGAGACGAACCTTTGGTGAAGAGATCTTTACGTAGGCCACAATTGGAGCCAGCGAGGTTTTTGCCAGCTGGGACGGGTGGTTAATTGTATCACAGTCCAACACAACCAACTGCAGGGCCCTGGCCAGCTCAAATATCCTCTCTATTTCCGCCTGCACCTCGGCTGTACAGAGAGGACAACAGTAATCATGGATGCTGGTCAAGATTTATGCACATGTTTAAAGGGAAGAGCAGAAGAAATGATACTTACTGTTGACTGTGTTTAAAGGTAGGAGCAGAAAGGATGATAGCAATCACTGATGACTATCAACAAGAATGAGAGTACTGACATATTTGATTCAAGGTAGGAGCAGAAAGGATGATAGCAATCACTGATGACTATCAACAAGAATGAGAGTAATGACATATTTGATTCAAGGCAGGAGCAGAAAGGATGATAGCAATCACTGATGACTATCAACAAGAATGAGAGTACTGACATATTTGATTCAAGGCAGGAGCAGAAAGGATGATAGCAATCACTGATGACTATCAACAAGAATGAGAGTACTGACATATTTGATTCAAGGCAGGAGCAGAAAGGATGATAGCAATCACTGATGACTATCAACAAGAATGAGAGTACTGACATATTTGATTCAAGGCTCGAGCAGAAAGGATGATAGCAATCACTGATGACTATCAACAAGAATGAGAGTACTGACATATTTGATTCAAGGCAGGAGCAGAAAGGATGATAGCAATCACTGATGACTATCAACAAGAATGAGAGTACTGACATATTTGATTCAAGGCAGGAGCAGAAAGGATGATAGCAATCACTGATGACTATCAACAAGAATGAGAGTACTGACATATTTGATTCAAGGCAGGAGCAGAAAGGATGATAGCAATCACTGATGACTATCAACAAGAATGAGAGTACTGACATATTTGATTCAAGGCAGGAGCAGAAAGGATGATAGCAATCACTGATGACTATCAACAAGAATGAGAGTACTGACATATTTGATTCAAGGCAGGAGCAGAAAGGATGATAGCAATCACTGATGACTATCAACAAGAATGAGAGTAATGACATATTTGATTCAAGGCAGGAGCAGAAAGGATGACAGCAATCACTGATGACTATCAACAAGAATGAGAGTACTGACATATTTGATTCAAGGCAGGAGCAGAAAGGATGACAGCAATCACTGATGACTATCAACAAGAATGAGAGTACTGACATATTTGATTCAAGGTAGGAGCAGAAAGGATGACAGCAATCACTGATGACTATCAACAAGAATGAGAGTACTGACATATTTGATTCAAGGCAGGAGCAGAAAGGATGATAGCAATCACTGATGACTATCAACAAGAATGAGAGTACTGACATATTTGATTCAAGGCTCGAGCAGAAAGGATGACAGCAATCACTAATGGTTGTCCACAAGAAAGAGAGTACTGTTATATTTGTTTAAGACAGGAGCAGAAAGAATACAGCAGTCACCAATGATTGTCAACAAGAATAATAAGATAAGTGTTTCATTTTAAGAACAGAACAAACGATAGCAATCACAGATGACTATCAAGAACAAAAAGATTTCTGTATCTGTCTAAAAACAGGAATAGAAAGGACAGCAACAATCACTGATAACTGTCAACAAGCATGACAAGATTCACAGATTTATTTAAAGACAATGGTAGCAAGTATGAAAGCAATCACTAATGATTGTCTGACAAGAATAAAATGATCTATGTATTTGTTTTAAACATTTGTTTTATTAATGGAACAATTAAAGGTCTATGGTAAAAATAAAAACATGACTAATTATATGCTACTGATGCAAGTGGCATGTGGTATTTGACCCGTATTGTTTTAGACCAATCAGCAGTAACTGTAGTCAACACTGCAGTGACTGTCTTTACTTCCATGGGCATTTCGTGATAATTATCATAAGCTGTGTCAGCCAGTAGGCCCTATATATCAATCCCCCCCCCCCCCCCCCCCCCCCCCCCCCCCCCCCAAAAGTCTCCCTGTGTTGGTCCTGGGGCTCCACAGAACACTGCTCCTCCAACAAGCATGTCACAGGAGGTGACTAATTAGTGGTTTGCTTCACTGTCGGACTACATCTGCCTGAGAGGCAAGGAACCAACAGTCTGTATACAAATAAACCAGATATGTAAAACAGATGTGCATGCAAAACTCAAGTTCTGGATCAAGACCAAAGTCCAGGAGGGGACAAACAACCAGAACTTTGTGCCGGAGATTACGGCTGGTGAACGCTATGAAGGAGAAGAATTACTAAAAATCCTTACGGATTAAAACAGTCTTCTGGCACACATGTATTTAATGCAGGGATGATTCATAATAACAACAGTACTATTGTTTTTTAATGTGGGGGAAAAAGAAGATGTGTAAAGCTGTTGCTGATTGACTGCCTGAATTAACTATTTTTAGGGTGGTGAAGGACAGTGAAGACAAAGATTTAAGGACAAAAGGACAGTGCAAGTGCTATGATTTCTACAGATAAAAAGTTGAAAGAAAAACAAAAAAACTAGACCAGACACCAAGGAAATCTCCATCCCTGACTGTGTATCAAACCTGAGTTTTCCACAAGAGAGCCCAGCGCACTAACCACTCAACCAACAACTCCTGTAAAAATGTGTAAATATGTAAATTCTTATGTAAATATTTAGTCCTGGGTTTTAACAGACATAAGGAGATTCTGTTTGTCTGAGGGTAGAATTAATGCATATAAGAGCTGACGTATCCTTTACTTTTACCATTCATGTCAGTACAGTGACCTCCAAGCCTACGCTTCTCAAACTCTAGAGACACGCATCATGTAACAACAGTGACCTGTAGAGATGAAACATCTAGTGCTCACCTAAGCCGGAGGCTCGAGGATTTGTCCTCTCCATGATTGCTCTTTTACTGGGGTTGTTGAGCAAGGATCGCTTGGCCAAAGAGATGTCAGCAGTAACTCTTGTGATGATTATTCTAGTAAACAGACACAGAGTTGTCACGACAAATAAAACAAATAACATCCTGTGCAACAATCAGCATTTCTTACATCACTTAATTAATAGACACTGAGACCCATATAAAACATCTGGACTTTCTCTTCTGTCTTCTAACCCCCAATAGAGCATAGGCACTCAACCTGCTCACGCCAAGTCATTCTTCTAGCCTTCGCTATCTCATGCAGCTCTCCCTTGTCCTCCCCATCTTTTTAACTTCATTCTCTAGCTCCCTTCTCCATGTGTTTTTTAGTCTTTTTTTATTTCAATGCCCCTATGCAAAGACATTCTAGTTACACTGTTCTCAAAATGTCTCAGTCTATGTCATATCCAACGCCAGCATCTTTTCTTCACCACTTGGTGTAACTGGAACTTGTCTGGTTTTGTCATCTACATTACTCTTCTTCTCCTTTTTCTTCGCATTCACAGGCATTAAACTCCAGCAGAAAATTCTGGTTGTTCATTCACTTCTGGACTCTAGTCCTGTTCCAGAAACTGAGTGTTGCATGCACATCAGTTTCACAGGTGACTCATTTGCATGCAGACTGTCTATTCATTGCTTCTCAGGCAGAGTACTCCAAAGGAACCTCCCATTTAGTCGACTCTTACGACATGCTTGTTGAATGTTGAATTAAGAATCGACATCACAGCACTCAGGACACTCCCATAAGTGCTCCGTCTCCATCTTCAGCAGCAAGTGAAGAGTTCCAATTCCTATGACACCAGTAACCATCTGATTGTATATCCATCTCATCCTTCCCCTGGGTGTGAAGCGTAGCCCAGATCCCCTGGTAAACTCCTCGCAGCAGCAGGTAAATAGTATTATGACGTGCTTTCGGGCCGGCAATGGGTCTATTCTTCTTTTCCCCACAATGGGGCCCAGAACATTAGTGATTCTATCATACCATTCAATTCCCTATATTCTGCACAAACACCAGTTAATTAATGTTTGTAGTTTATTAATAACTCCCTCAGTTGTTCTCCATGTTTCCGCTTCACACAAAAGTACTTTGATTTGACATTAGAATTAAACATTTTAAGTCTTGCCTTTTGTATTAAATATCTCTTATCAGTTCAATCTACATTACTGCCCAAATAGGTGTACGACTCTACATCTTGGAGTGGGATACCATTAAAAAAGAACACATTATTATTTGCCTGATTTATTCTCATTTCTGACTCTTTCCCTTATGGATTTTTAAACCTTGCTGTTGTGATCTCACAGCAAGTATTTTTAATTTATCTTGCATCTGATTCTGTGAGTGGGACAGAAGTAGGGTGACCATATCGTCGGGACGTTATTGTTTTTAGGTAGGCCCAGCTGTCTGCTCGCTAGTAAAGAAAAAAAATCTATTGTCCCAACTGACACTGAGTATCACTGGGACAGTGTGGGTCTGCTTAAAAAAACGACTCTGCCCTAGCGAAAACATGACCTATGGTCACCTTAGACAAAACAAAAATATCATCAGGGAAGTCTAGATCATCAAGCTGTTTTGTAGGGGTCACTGAATTCCATTCCTAGTATTAGCAGCTGCTGTCTTCATAATCCAGTCTACTGCCAGTAAAAATAGGAGAGGCGTCAAAAGACATTCCTGTCGCACACCTGTCTTTATTTCAAATGTATCTTTTAGCTTTCCTTCATGATGAACTTGACATTTTATGTCTTTATATGTTGAAACAACTGGTCGTATTAATGTTGTATGTATTCTGATCCTAGAGTTGCGAGACACAGAATTTGATTTTAGCAGATGTTTTAGAGGCCAGTGAATGCGTTTCATAATTCTCAAATGTACCAGAGTTTGGTTTTCATGGCAGATGATTCATAAAAAACAATTTGTGTGTGGCACTCTGAGAGTGGTATAAGAGTCCCACCGTGGAAGAGACTGGGACCTCAACATGTAATATTACCAAAGACAGCAGTAGATGCACTGCAGCCACCCTTCACTGTGGAGACAGCACATTGATCTAGGCAGATAAGACTGGCTGGTTCAGCAACACCGGGTGTGAACTGATGCAAAACACACTAGATATGGTCAATACCACTTTGAAAGAAAGTAAACAATACGGAAGCAGGCACAGATTTTCTTCTTCTTCGTGTTCACCATCTGTAAACTCTGGTAGAAAGTTCTGCTTGTTTATCCATTTCTGGACTGCAGAACCTGAGTATTGCATGTACACCCGTTTTACAGAGCTGAATCATTTGTATGCAGACTGTTGGTTCTTTGCCTCTCAGGCAGATGCACTCCGACTTCACAGGAAGCTCCTAATTAGTCGACTCCTATGACACGCTTTTGGGTAGGCAGTGGGTCTATTCTTTTGATCTCCCCCCACACCAAAAGGGCCTCAGAACCCACAATGGGAAGGCAAAGATCATTAAGGTCTGGAGAGAATGGTGCAGTAGGGATCCAGCAAACACTGACAGGAAAGTCAAGATGTATGACTACAACTGTGCTGTGATATCAATCCTAAACTCAACCCAATACAATTTAATTTGCACTAACACTAATGTCCAGACTTACCGGCCTTCAAACCTGTGCTTGAGGAAGTCAAACAACGCCTTCTGCATCATATCAGTAACCTCATACCCCTTGAGGGAAGGACCTATTAGAACTACTGGACGCATAGAAGGCACAACTTCATAAGGAGGGGCGCTTTCAGACTAGAGAATAAAACAAACATCTTAGAATGAAGATCACCATGTTGGATTAATGGAAAGGACTAGTTGGTTGTAGGTGAACAATGATTTTGTAAAATAAAAATAAAAAATTGAATGTCTTTAGTCAGCTGATGCTGTTAAACTTCCCTAAGATGGAGATGGTATTGCATTTTAAAAGTAAGGAGTTTGTGTGTATGCATATGAGAGGGTGGGGGTGGGGGGGGGGGAGAACAATCTTTTATTTCTCACCTTTAAGCAACCTTACTTGTTACGCATATGAACATCCTGTCTCAGTCAATCCAACCTATTCATCTACCTTTGAAGCAACGGCCATCTCAGTGTTTTCATGCTCACTATATCCAGTAGCAGTTGATTTTCACATTTCTTTCTTTGCTCCGAAACTGGTTAATGCAAGCCTGTGTCTCAATGTCTCTGGAATCAGTGCATTCAGTGTGTCTAGGTTCATCATCTCCGACTCCTGTGTCTCAATGTCTCTGAAATCAGTGCATTCAGTATGTCTAGGTTCATCATCTCTGACTCCTGTGTCTCAATGTCTCTGAAATCAGTGCATTCAGTATGTCTTGGTTCATCATCTCCGACTCCTGTGTCTCAATGTCTCTGAAATCAGCGCATTCAGTATGTCTTGGTTCATCATCTCTGACTCCTGTGTCTCAATGTCTCTGAAATCAGTGCATTCAGTATGTCTAGGTTCATCATCTCTGACTCCTGTGTCTCAATGTCCCTGAAATCAGCGTATTCAGTGTGTCTAGGTTCATCATCTCCGACTCCTGTGTCTCAACACTTCTGGAATGCAGGCCATTCAGTATATCAAGATTCATCATCTTTAACCCTTGTGTCTCAATGTCCCTGGAATTCAGTGCATTCAGTACACCTAGAAAAGCAAAGGTTAGTTCACATCTGAGCTACCAATAACAGATCAGGACAAAGTGCGTCACCATGACGGTATATGATACACACAGGGAAAAAGTGATACCTTAAAAAACACACAAAGAGAAGAATCAGAGATGGTTAATACAAAAGGACATACGAACGTTGCAGAAGATGGCAAAAGTTATGATTGCGTTGTATGAGCTGCTAAAATAGAATAATGGAATTTTTTTTTAAAAACATAACAACGGCTATGTATGCATATAACAGGATGGTGGGAGGGGGAGGGGGGGGGAAGAAGAGATCTATTTAAAAAGAAAAGTAAAGGACTCTTTTCCACGCCTTTAGCCGTATAGGGTATATAGGGCTAGACCTATATTTTTATACACCAACCAGCACAAGATCAGTGATGTGGTCAGCATCACGCCGGGGATCTTCTATTGTTCACCTTTAAATGCAACACTATGTGTATTTCACCACTTTTACTGTGTAGGCGGGAGGGAGCTCTGAGCCCCAGAGTCAAAGGCTGCATGGTTAGTGCTATCGCCACAAACTGTGCAGGCTGGGATTTTATTTTTGCCCCCCTGACAGAAAAGTCCACAGCCTTATTATACCGAGGATTCAAATCTGGGTCTCCTGCATGACAGTCCAGTGCTTGTAACCATTTAACTAGCTGCTCCTCACTGTAGACACATAACATGTACCAAAAAAACAAACACTGAAGCCTACCTTTTTGAAAAAAGGTTTCCGCTTCTCCTTGGTTGGGGGTGTTATACTGGTTTTGCTGGACTTTGAATTTCCTAGACTGTCACTGTCTTCCCCAACATTGCTGTCCACTCCATTCTGGGTCTCATCTACACCTGTACAACCCAAGGGTAAGAAATAATCCACATCTGATCACTCTTGACATTGAAATAATAACAGAGAGGTGTATTCTTCAAATTGAACAAGTATATACACTGAACAGGCGCTCACTAAAACTGGCGGAAGCAATGTCAATTAGGATGGGCAAACATGTATTATGTAACAAAATGGATTACACTGGATTAACTAAGCATTCATAATGAGATGTACAGAGTAACTAGAGACAATGTGATCTGGGTATTCAACAGAAAAAGATTAAAGTTGTGTGCTTCACTGTAGGTTGATGTCAGGTAAAGTAAAGGTAAAGTGGGGAGATGTGAACCAGCGTCACTGCACACGGTTATAAACCATAAGTGCTCTGCCACCAGTACGGACAGCTGATAAGAATTGTCCACCTGTGTCACCGTTCGCACGTAACTCTGTAGCTACAGCGATGTTCCTCCATTTACCCCAGAGTGTCAACTCTGGTACCCATTTCCTAGAGGCTGGGTGAACTCCGGGAGCCGTCCGGTTTCAAACACCCACCGTGGGCTGCAGCGAGTCGCAGCTGGATTTGAAAGCCAGCCTCTTATCGACTGAGCTAACGCTGTCAACTCTGTAGTAATGCACCTGATAAGATACAGCTAAAACTGCCAGACAATAAACTGTTTAACATTTTATTTCTTTCTTTTTCTATTTCCGCTCTGGGCCATTAGGAATGGCAGTTTTTAAGATGATAGGTGGCTGAGCCAGAGTACACTGGGTGCCTTGCTGTGCTATGATAAGTAAGGTGATGAATGACTCCTTTAATACTTCTTTTAGGTTTCCCACCTGCCCTCTTAACATTTCATTTTCATGTTGTATGCTCCCTGTGCTGGCATCATTGGGTTCATTTTCACAGTTGGCCAAACCCCTTTCAGTCTCTGTTTCTTGATGAATTTAATGACAGGTATTGTTCTAATAGTTCTAATCTCTTTATTTCTCACAGGATATATTCTGGTTCTGTTTGCATCCTTTTCTCAAACATCTAATTTCACAAATGGTTGGTTTTCTCTTTAATTCTTCAGTTAATTTTTGAGTCTGATAATGATACCATCAAAGTGGAATAAAGACTGTGTTAATAATTTGACTTTTAATCTTGAGAGAAACCAACAGTCTGCCTACAAATAAGCCAGATCTGTAAAATGGATGTGCATATAATACTCAGGTTCTGGAACAAGACCAAAGTCCAAAAAAGGAGGAACACAACACTAGAACAACAAATACAAAATATTAGAACAATCAACACACAACATTAGAACAATAAATGCAACACTAGAACAATAAATACACAACATAAGAACAACAAATGCACAACACTAGAACAACAAACACAACATAAGAACAACAAAAACACAACACTAGAACAACAAATGTGCAACACTAGAACAATAAATACACAACATACGAACAACAAACACACAACACTAGAACAACAAACACACAACATAAGAACAACAAATGCACTACACTAGAACAACAAACACACAGCATAAGAACAACAAACACACAACACAAGAACAACAAACACACAACACAAGAACAACAAACACACAACACTAGAACAACAAACACTCAACACTAGAACAACAAACACTCAACACTAGAACAACAAACACACAACACTAGAACAACAAACACTCAACACTAGAACAACAAGGTCACCTGGTGTAGGTGGCGTGGACCCTCTGGAGTTGGAAGGTTTCGAGGAATTCAAAAGGTTGTCAATATTGGAAGATGAATTAGTTTTGCTGTATGGACAAAGTTACCATATTTGTATCAATTTTTAAAGTGATGTTCACAATGGCAACATTACAACAGTAATTACTACCATCATCTCTTAGTATCACCTCCAACTCTCACCACAACACCAATTACTACCCTAATCTCCCATTACAACACCAACTACTACCTACATTTCCCATCCCGACATCTACTATTACCCTCATTTCCAACTACCACTTTCATCTCTTTCAACAACATCAACTATTACCCTCATTTCCAACTACCACTTTCATCTCTTACAACATCAACTATTACCCTCATTTCCAACTACCACTTTCATCTCTTACAACAACATCAACTATTACCCTCATTTCCAACTCCCACTTCCATCTCTCTCAACAACATCAACTATTACCCTCATTTCCAACTACCACTTTCATCTCTTACAACAACATCAACTATTACCCTCATTTCCAACTACCACTTTCATCTCTTTCAACAACATCAACTATTACCCTAATTTCCAACTACCACTTTCATCTTTTACAACAACATCAACTATTACCCTCATTTCCAACTACCACTTTCATCTCTTACAACAACATCAACTATTACCCTCATTTCCAACTACCACTTCCATCTCTTACAACAACATCAACTATTACCCTCATTTCCAACTACCACAACATCAACTATTACCCTCATTTCCAACTACCACTTTCATCTGTTACAACAACATCAACTATTACCCTCATTTCCAACTACCACTTCCATCTCTTACAACAACATCAACTATTACCCTTATTTCCAACTACCACCTCCATCTTTTACTAAAACATTGACTATTATCCTCATTTGCTACTACCACCTGATTCTCTTACTTCATCAACTACTAGCTTCAACTCTTTTTACACTCTCCATAAACTACAATATCAACTACTATTGTTACCTCTTACTACCACTTCCATTTCCCTCTACATCAACTGTTACTAACACCTTCATCTCCCACACCATCAACTACCACCTATCATTGCCAGCTCCTTCTACAACATCAACTGTTATTAACACCTTCATCTCCCACTACAACATTAACTACCACCTATCACTGCCAGCTCCTTCTACAACATCAACTATTACAGTAACCTCCCATGACCATGGGAAGCTGCCATGGTGTGGTGGCTAGACGCTTGCCTGATGATCCAAAGATCATGTGTTCAGGTCCTGACAGAGCCATACTTTTTTTTTTTAAATGACTTTGGCTTCCAGGTTTACCCAGCCTTAATGGGTACCAGGTAAAGTCCTGGAAAGTAAAGGTGGCCCGGCTGATGCTGACCACATTACCTACCGAGTGCCAATTGGTCAATAAAATAGCCCTAAAGACCCAATACGCATAAAGGTGTGGAAAAGGGTCCATAATTTAACTTTTTTTAAAACTGATTCCCACATTTATCTTCCACTACCACCCCACCCAACAACTCCACCCTCATCTATCCGTAACTTTCTTCTCAATACCCCACCAACACACAAAAAAACAAAATCCTATCCCGTGGAGCCCTCACCTTGTGTAAAGTTTTGCTTGCCGGCCACCTCCAGACACCGATCTGAGATTCTCCAACTTGGCAGGGCTGGGAATAAATCTAACATCACAGCCTTCCTTTACCAGCCGGCCAATCCACCAGTCATTGTTGAATTTCTGATGGGTACAATATCAGCAGTCTTTAGTTAAAGTCTCAGCAATATTAGCAATGTCACCCAAGAGTCATTGTCCTTCCTTATAGTTATGCATGTACAAGCAAACAGGTAATTTCTAAGGTTCCTATGCGGGTCCTGGACCCCATATTGAGGGGAAAAGGGGGGAGGAGAGAATAGACCCATCGTCCCTTAACAAAGAATGTCATAACAGATGTCTAATTTGTGGGTTGTCTGAAATTCAATGCGCTGGGCCAAAATGTGGAAATATCGCAGCCTAGCTGCAAACCACAAAATACCAACCACCCTTATAAGGACAAACACAGAAGAAGAATTTCTAAGCAATCTGAGCAATGCTTTAAATGTGTCTTATAGTGTTTCCATCAGCAGTGAATCTGCTGCCAATCACGCAGTTCATTTAACTTAGGCATGGCCTCAACAACCTTGGAGTTCGAGGCTTCTTGTAACATAAAGACACACTGTATAGCACTGGTCTTTTTAAGGTGCACCCCCTCCCCTCTCTAATCATGACTGGGGGGGGGGGGGGGGGGGGGAATCATAACCAGGGGGTAAATTGAAGTATGTTCTCTTTTTCTTCCTCCTTGCATTCATTGGCAGTAAACTCCGGCAGACAGTTCTGGCTGCTTGTCCACTTGGGGATTTGTCTCGTTCCAGAACCTCACAGTTTTGCGCAGACAACTTTTGAACAGATGTGGATTATGTGTATGCAGACTGTTGGTTCCTGGCCTCTCAGGCACCCCGACTATGAAAGAAACACCCATAATTAGTTGACTTTTACAACATGCTGGTTAGGATGGCAGTGGGTCTATTCTTTTTTACTCCCAAAATGGGGACCCAGAATTCATACAGGGAGGAGCACATCAATGACAATGGGAGAGATGAGAGGAGTCGATTTAGAGGGGACCAGACAGAAGATGTGAGACAGTTTAGCAGCATGATATGGAAGAACTTGTGTAGCAGAAATGACTGCAGGATACCAGCCTCCAGACAGTGCATAGATAGGATAAACAACACCATAAGCCTCTGGCTGTATGGAGAAATGACTGCAGGATACTAGCCTCCAGACAGTGCACAGATAGGATAAACAACACCATAAGCCTCTGGCTGTATGGAGAAATGACTGTAGGATACTAGCCTCCAGACAGTGCATAGATAGGATAAACAACACCATAAGCCTCTGGCTATAGGGAGAAATGACTGTAGGATACCAGCCTCCAGACAGTGCATAGATAGGATAAACAACACCATAAGCCTCTGGCTATAGGGAGAAATGACTGTAGGATACCAGCCTCCAGACAGTGCATAGATAGGATAAACAACACCATAAGCCTCTGGCTATAGGGAGAAATGACTGCAGGACACCAGCCTCCAGACAGTGCACAGATAGGATAAACAACACCATAAGCCTCTGGCTGTATGGAGAAATGACTGCAGGATACTAGCCTCCAGACAGTGCATAGATAGGATAAACAACACCATAAGCCTCTGGCTGTATGGAGAAATGACTGCAGGATACTAGCCTCCAGACAGTGCATAGATAGGATAAACAACACCATAAGCCTCTGGCTGTATGGAGAAATGACTGCAGGATACTAGCCTCCAGACAGTGCATAGATAGGATAAACAACACCATAAGCCTCTGGCTGTATGGAGAAATGACTGCAGGATATCAGCTTCCAGACAGTGCACAGATAGGATAACACCACCATAAGCCTCTGGCTATATGGAGAAATGACTGCAGGATACCAGCCTCAAGGATGTGCATAGATAGGATAACAACACCATAAGCCTCTGGCTGTATGGAGAAATGACTGTAGGATACCAGCCTCCAGACAGTGCATAGATAGGATAACAACACCATATGCTTCTGGCTTTATGGAGAAATGACTGCAGGATACTAGCCTCCAGACAGTGCACAGATAGGATAACAACACCATCAGCCACTGGCTGAGAACAATGATAGGGATGCTTGCCAGCTGCATTCTGCTTAAAACGTTACAGTCAAAAGAAATGACTTTATTCCACTAGGTTTTACCTCATATGGCTCAGTCTCTCCAGACAGAACAGCTAGCTAGAGTGTCACACTTCTTCTTCATGTAAACTGGCTGTAAACTCAGTCAGAAGGTTCTGGTTATTTGTCCACATCTGGACTTTAGTCTTGTTTCAGAACTTAAATTTTGCATGGAGAAATCCCTAATTTGTTTCCTTTTACAATATGCTTGTTTAGAAAACAGGGCCCTGGTACCCACACAGGAAGAGTGTTGCACAAAGCATGAACTCCGTAGCCCCAGCGATGATACTGTTGGATTTCCATAAAAGCTGCATTCATAAACTGAATAATGTGCCTGTAAGAATAAACTCACAGGGAGCAAGTACAGCAGGGATCTACAGTCATCAGTAGAAATTATCCTCGTCGACACACGTTTCGGCCCACGATTCCTAAACGTGTTCGGAGGTGGGCCCACCTGAGTTCATGAAGCTCAGGGCTGCTTCCCCCGCTGCACAGAATTACCGGATGGTGTTATTATTTCGGCCAGAGACAAGACGACTTAGTGGTTTCGAAGGAGGTACTGTGAGATAAGAAGCCGCCGCGACAGCGTAATTAAAACAGTCCGCATGCCTGGACGACCGAGCGACAAGCTTACTTTGGTTTACCGGACACATGTTGAACTTTTATTAGCAGTTGGCAGAGGGACACTGGCAGACAATTCGTACACGATGGACTTAAGGGATGAGAAACTCCTTTCCGCTAGACACCCGGACCAGCTCACCGAGGCCCGTCCCCTACGTTGTTGCGCTGCGTCCAAAGCCAGCTAGAGGCCCTTTCGGCTGCCTCTCCCAGTTTTTTAAGTGTTCGTTTCCGTTCATTACCGCGCAATCCTAGTTCTTTCACCACATTGTAGAGCGAAGTGGAAACGAGGCCTCTCGCTCCCACTTCGACGGCAAATACCCGTACCGTGTAAGCCTCGTCTCTCCTCAAACCGGCTGCTAAATCACTGTACTTTTCGAGCTTGTACAAGTGATTCTCCTCCATACGCGACTCAAACGGGACCGTCAACTCAATCAGGATGAGTTGCCGTTTTTGCGCAAAATGGAGAACGATGTCCGGTCGCAGGCCGGTTTTACGGATCAACTCGGGATACCGTTCATGGCCTGGCAGATCAACCGCCAGTAACCAGTCCCTAGCAGAGTCTAGCACAGATGGAGCGAATGCGTTTTTGTTGACCTTACCGATTGGAACCTGCCCAGCCTTGAGGAAACGAATGGGGGCGATACTAGAACTGGCTCTGGCATTAGCCCTCATTCTAGCCTGGTCGACAACGGCTGCTAACTCCTTTAGCACCTTGTTGTGGCGCCAGGTGTATCGGCCTTGACCTAGAGCTTTCCTGCACGCGGACAGGACGTGCTCAAGAGTTTGCTTCGATTTGCACAACGGGCAAGTCGGATCGTTGGTCGCAGACCATTTAACCATGTTAACACCGGACGGTAATACATCGTACGCCGAACGAACGATAAAGCTCAGTCGCAGCGGGGTCATCCGCCAGATCTCACCCCATGTGAGTATTCTCGGCAATGCGCTCTCCAGGCCTGTAAAATGAACCCACAGCCTTTAGAGTGCAAGTCAAACAGCTTGACCACTTTGCCATGAAGAGTCTCTATATGACACTTTCACCGAACGTGAGCGACTATGGTTATAAATGAAGTGATCAACTTGACTTTGTTCTGTTTTTCTTCACAACCATATAACAAATGTTTAAAGAAAACACTTAGCGAAAAATTGCTGGCTAAATATTCCAACAGGGCAAAAGGTTTTAAGTGATGGCTATAAAAGATCCACAAAAGAGCCTTTGTGACATGCAGCACTGCTTTCATCTTCAAAAAGAGGCAGTTTGACATACACCTCAAACTTGTATGCACTATACAAAATTAAGAAATACATATTTTAATCAAATTTTGTGTATAAGATGACTTCCCCCACCAACCCATCCAATTTTAAAGTTAAAAAATGTGGGGAAATATACTGTCTTACGCACAGAGAAAGACAGTATATTTTTGACTGGCATGTGAATTTTTTGGACTGCAACACAATAAGAATGGTGTGGCACAAAAGTAGTCTTACACCAGACAGTGTTGTGCAATTGTGAAATTTTAATATTTCCTGTTTTTGAGACCACGATACATGACGAAGGGTAGCAATTTCCCTTCTCATTTATTTACACCTGGTGGAGCGTTTTTTTCTTCTTCTTCTTTGTTCACCATCTGTAAGCTCCAGAGGACAGTCCTGGTTGTTCATCCATCTGAATTCTAGCTTTGTGCCAGGGCCTGAGTTTTTGCGTGTACATCCATTTTACTGGATTATTTGAGTACAGTTGGCTGTTCCTTACCGCTCAGGCAGATGCACTCCGACTTTGAAAGAAGCCCCAATTAGTCAACTCCTACGACATGCTTGTGGGGAGGCAGTGGATCTATTCCCCCCCTTCCCCCCCCCCCCCCCCCCCCCCCCCCCCCCACAATGGGGCTCCGGAACCCAAGCGGGGCAGGAAAGTTTTTCTCAAACGATGAAGAAATTGAAAATGTCACATACTCTGAATATCTAGGTTCTATAATAAACGGTCCTTGGGACTGTTCAAAAGAATTCAAGAGGAGGAAGGCCAAAGCAATGCAAAATTAAACAGCATTACACGTCTATGGTTAAACACCAGCAAGGAGATTACAATTCTGAGAGCATGCAACTTCCCTGTAGCAAAAACACCATCCAAATGTGAGGCAAACAGCTTAACCACTTTGCCATGGAGACCAACATTCCCATCCAACCCCCACTTTCAACAAGAATGTTTCTGGATTTACACAAAATGTGATCCCACATTGTCCAAATTCACCTGGTTAAACTTACTTCTTTTATGTGCAAATAATCTCTGACACAAAATGATATAGCATATCCATGAACTGGAGAATCGTCATCTGCCGACCCATCATAGGACACATTTGTCCTCACAGCAAATGCCACCGGTTTTGTCTAGAGATGGCAAAGACAAAATAAACAGCTAATTCAAAGGTTTAGATGAAACTGTGACACAAATTCTTCTTCTTCTTCTTCGCGCTCACCAGCTGTACACTCTGGCGGAAAGTTCTGGTTGTTCGTCTACTTCTGGACTGCAGTCCTGCTCCAGAACCTGAGTGTTGCGTGTGCATCAGTTTTACAGATCTGATTCACTTGAATGCAGACTGTTGGTTCCTTGCCTCTCAGGCAGATGCACTCCGACTTCAAAGGAAGCTCCCAATTAGTCGACTCTTACGACATGCTTTTGGGGAGGCAGTGGGTCTATTCTTGTTTTCCCCACAATAGGGTCCCGGAACCCACACGGGGAAGACACAAATTGTAACTACCAAAAAGAAAAATCTATAGACAAAACAGTTACAAACAAAGACTACAAATAAAAGTTTAGGGAAAATAAAGACACAAATCATAATAAAAAATATAAGTTTAGGGAAAATAAAGATACAAATCACAATAAGAAATATAAGTTTAGGGAAATAAATAAAATAAAGATACAAGTTATAATAAGAAACACAAGTTTTGGGAAAATAAAGATAAAAATCATTAAAAAAAAACGTTTAGGGAAAATAAAGATACAAATTATAATAAGAAATACAGGTTTTGGGGGGAAAAAAAGATACAAATCATAATAAAAAATAAAAGAATAGGGAAAGTAAAGATGCAAATCATAACAAAAAAAAAAAAAGTTCAGAGATGACATAAATACAAATAAAGATGACAAACAAAATGTTTAAAAAAAAACAAAGACACAAATGATAACAGAAAAAACAAAAACAATAATTAAAACTACAAATAAAAGTGTAGAGAGACAACAGTTACAAATAAAGACTTCAAACATAATTTTATGGAAAAAAAAGATAGAAATGATTACTACAAATAACAGTCTAAAGATAATGCATACAAATAAAGATGACACATGCAAATAAAGATGACACATACAAATAAAGACTACACATACAAATAAAGACTACACATACAAATAAAGATTGACACATACAAATAATGATGACACATACAAATAAATATGACACATACAAATAAAGACAACACATACAAATAAAGATGACACATACAAATAAAGATGACACATACAAATAAAGATGACACAAACAAATAAAGATGACACATACAAATAAGGACGCCACATACAAATAAGGACGACACATACAAATAAGGACGACACATACAAATAAGGATGACACATACAAATAAGGACGACACATACAAATAAGGACAACACATACAAATAAAGACGACACACAAATAAAGATGACACATACAAATAAAGATGACACATACCAATAAAGATGACACATTTAATAAAGATGACACATACAAAAAAAGATGACACACACAGATAAAGATGACACACACAAATAAAGATGACACACACAAATAAAGATGACACATACAAATAAAGGTGACACACACAAATAAGGATGACACATACACATACAGATGACACATACAAATAAAGATGAAACATACAAATAAAGATGACACACACAAATAAAGATGACACATACACATACAGATGACACATACAAATAAAGATGAAACATACAAATAAAGATGACACATACAAATAAAGATGACACATACAAATAAAGATGACACATACACATAAAGATGACATACAAATAAAGATGACACACACAAATAAAGATGACACATACCAATAAAGATGACACATACCAATAAAGATGACACATACAAATAAAGGTGACACACACAAATAAGGATGACACATACACATACAGATGACACATACAAATAAAGATGAAACATACAAATAAAGATGACACACACAAATAAAGATGACACATACAAATAAAGATGACACATACCAATAAAGATGACACATACAAATAAAGGTGACACACACAAATAAGGATGGCACATACACATACAGATGACACATACAAATAAAGATGAAACATACAAATAAAGATGACACATACAAATAAAGATGACACATACAAATAAAGATGACACATACAAATAAAGATGACACATACCAATAAAGATGAAACATACAAATAAAGATGACACATACAAATAAAGATGACACATACCAATAAAGATGACACATACCAATAAAGATGACACATACAAATAAAGATGACAAACAACAGTTTATAGAAGACATTCTACTTCTTAGAGTTCACCAGCTGTAAACTCTAGTCTTGTTCCAGGATGTAGGTTTTTTGTGCAAATCCATTGTACAGATCTGGCTTATCTGCAGATTGTTGGTTTCCTGCCTCTCTGACAGATCCACTCCAGCTTTGAAGGAAACACCCCTGTTAGTCACCTCCTACAAGATGCTTTTCAGAAAAGTGGGGGGCAGAGAGAGACAGAGAGAGAGACAGAAAGAGAGAGAGAGAGAGAGAGAGAGAGAGAGAGAGAGAGAGAGAGAGAGAGAGAGAGAGAGAGAGAGAAGAGAGAGACACAGAGAGAGAGACAGACAGACAGAGAGACAGACAGAGAGAGACAGAAAGAGAGAGAGAAGAGAGAGACAGAGAGAGAGAGAGAGAGATAGAGACAGAGAGAGACATAAAGAGAGAGAGATAGAGAGAGGAGAGTTGGTTTGTCTGTCCCCCCCCCCCCCTCTTTCCTTTCCAGGGGCCCTGGATCCCACACAGGGAAAAATTACATTCTTTATTTAGAGACAAGAAAGACATGAATAAAAACTACAACCAAAGGCAGCAGGTGCTGTAGCAAAGCAGCTAGACAACTGCCGGCCAGTCTTAACGTCTTGGGTTCAAATCCACTCAAGGCTGATGTTTTCTTCAAAACAGACCACCTAGGCTCCCAGCCTAAAATGGGCATACTTAAAGTCCCATAGAAAGGTGGTTGGCAGGATGTCGACCCTCATCACCCAACAAGTGCAGAATAGTCTAAAATATATGTTCTGTGCATCACCAAATGAGGTAAAGAATTAGCAGTGACCAAGGAAAACATGCTGAGCTGACTGACACTGAATGAGTACAACACAGCTATGCAAATACACGAGGAAGGAGGCCTGGTGACGGACACAGTATTTTCCTAGTGGGCTGTGAGGAGAGCAACAATTTCTCTTTCATTATATTTTTCTAATCAATTTACAATTTTACATTTCTTGAATGATTGGTTCCTGTTTTTCTTGAGAGGAAATACCTTTAAAAAAAAAAAGGACACCCATTGTGAACCACTGACTCAGTACAAAACCACAAGATGGCTCTCTTCCTTCTACTTCTTTGACTACCACTTCTTCCTCTTCTGCATTTCCTCTTGAAAGGGCAGTTGACACATTGTGTTAAGGTTTATAATAGGCTGCAACATCCTGCATCTTTCAACTCAACACATCTGATTTGGACTATTCCTTAATTTTGTCACCTTTTACTCTTCTTCTTCTCCTCCTCCTCCTCATAGTTTCTTGGCTGTAAAATGTAGAAGGTGTTCTGGCTGCTCGTCCATTTCTGACTGTTGGTTTCTTGCCTCTCACGCAGATGCATGCTGAATTCGAAGGACACACCCCTAATTAGCCACGTTTTAAGACATGCTTGCTTGTTAGCAGAGCAGTGGTGAATAATCCCCCCCCCCCCCCCCACCCCTCCAAAACATATAGGGAGCTATGATCCTACCTTCGCTTTCTCTAACTGTGCCAAGGCCTGCCTCTCAGTCTCCCGCCTCAGTGCTTCCTTCTCCTCGTCCAGTGAAATGTCTGACGATGGCTGGCTATAGTTTGAATCTGCTGAACCCTGGAGACATTCACAATATATCCGAATCAAACTGATGCAAGAATATATTTAATGAGACAGCCGCAGTCTTTATAAACCAGATGATATTAATAAATCACACACTCAAAATAATAAAAAACCAGGCACCCAGGACATTTATAAACCAGAGACATGTGACATTTATAAACCAGACACACATGACATTTATGAACCAGACACTGGTGACATTTATAAACCAGACACACATGACATTTATGAACCAGACACTGGTGACATTTAAAAACCAGACACACGTGACATTTATGAACTAGACACTGGTGACATTTATAAACCAGACACTGGTGACATTTATAAACCAGACACACATGACATTTATGAACCAGACATTGGTGACATTTATAAACCAGACACACGTGACATTTATGAACCAGACACTGGTGACATTTATAAACCAGACGCACATGACATTTATGAACCAGACACTGGTGACATTTATAAACCAGACACACATGACATTTATGAGCCAGACACTAGTGACATTTATAAACTAGACACACATGACATTTATTAACCAGACACTGGTGACATTTATAAACTAGACACACATGACATTTATGAACCAGACACACATGACATTTATAAACCACATACTGGTGACATTTATAAACCAGACACTGGTGACATTTATAAACCAGACACACATGACATTTATGAACCAGACACTGGTGACATTTATAAACCAGACACATATGACATTTATGAACTAGACACTGGTGACATTTATAAACCAGACACACATGACATTTATGAGCCAGACACTAGTGACATTTATAAACCAGACACATGACATTTATAAACCAGACACACATGACATTTATGAACCAGACACTGGTGACATTTATAAACTAGACACACATGACATTTATTAACCAGACACTGGTGACATTTATAAACTAGACACACATGACATTTATTAACCAGACACTGGTGACATTTATAAACTAGACACACATGACATTTATGAACCAGACACACATGACATTTATAAAACAGATAAACATGACATTTTTTAAACCAGGCACACATGACATTTATAAACCAGACACTGGTGACATTTATAAACAAGATACAGAATAATCTTTGGTGGTCAGAAGTTAAAATAGCTCGCAGGCCTTGATGGAAACGAAAGGGCTGATAAGTTGGCTGGATCCAGTATCACTGCTGAAGGTCAACCCATGGATCATGCTGATATTAATAATGACCTCAGAGAAGTGGGAAGGGTGGAGGATTTTGAGACAGCGATTCCACATTGCTGGCCAGAATAAAAGAATTGGGAGTTAAGATCGGCATAGCCAAAAGCAGAAGACACACCAGGGCATATAAAAAGACTTAGCAAAAAAAAAAAAAGAACTGGCACTATTAGTCACAGGAGGCTGGGGTTCATACCGAGAAAAGGATCTGAGCACATACGGACATGTCTGGAGTGCAATGATCAGATCCCAAATAACTAACTAAAATAGCTGCCAGGGGAAAGAAGGAGTTAAAATGATAACCATTGTTGTCAACAGGAGCGTAATATAACAGGTGTTGGCAGTCAGAGAGAAGTTACAGGTGTTGGCAGTCAGGGAGAAGTTACGGGTGTTGGCAGTCAGAGAGAAGTTACAGGTGTTGGCAGTCAGAGAGAAGTTACAGGTGTTGGCAGTCAGAGAGAAGTTACAGGTGTTGGCAGTCAGAGAGAAGTTACAGGTGTTGGCAGTCAGAGAGAAGTTACAAGTGTATGCAATCAGAGAGAAGTTACAGGTGTTGGCAATCAGAGAGACGTTACAGGTGTTGGCAATCAGAGAGAAGTTACAGGTGTTGACTGTCAGACCGAAGTTCAATCCAATTAACAGAGAGAACTGGTGGTTCTACGGCCTTGGGTTTCAAACTGCTGTCATAGCTGAGGGACGGGAGTCGAGGATGAGAATATAAACAAAGTAGTTAAAGAAATTAACAAATGCATACTACAGGCGGCAAGAGAATCAATACCAAGAAGAGCCCGTAAGAATAATAAGCCGTACTGGAATAGTAATTTCGAAAATTTACATAACGAAGTGGAAACATCTATAAAGAAAGCAGAGACCCAAAAACATCACAATAACTAGAAGCATGCAAAAGCAAAATTTGCAGGAGCAAAGAAAACAAGGTCGCTGAACTGTGAAAAAGACACACACAAAAGTTATGGAAGCCTGAAAAACAAATTAATGAAGAGGGCTCAGTGTGGAACTCAAAGATCACGCTGCAGAAAGATGGAAACATGTTCACATATAAAGAGGCAGCCAACCTCTTTGCAGACACTTTTGCTTTAGACAAGAACACTGAAATTAGTTGGAGAGAAAAAAAAAAAAAAACAAGAGATTCAAGACAAGACCAAAGCATAAGTCAGAAAGAAATAACACCAGAGGCACTTCAAGCATTGAGCGTATACAGATGGGTCCCACAAAATGCAGTTGGAAATGGTGGTGCGGGTGTAATAGAATTCCCAGTTGGTACCAGGGATAAGTCCCGTTTGCCAACCGGGAAGTACTGTCATAACTATGTTGCAGAAACCCAGACTATCAAGACGGCAACAGAGAAACTGCTAAATACAAATTTTGGCTAAAAGTATGTGGTAATGCTGAATGATGTAAAATCCATACTTGGTCTAGAAAACTACCAGAATTGCAAACACTACTGACACAGCTCAGCTGTGAGCGAACAGTCCCAATGCAATGGATACCGTTCCATTGTGGAGTGCCTGGAAATCAGAAAGCTGATCAGGGGAAGGTGTGACAAAAGTGCAGCGGGATGTACCAGTTACATATCAGCTAAAGAAAAGGATCATTAAATCGACCAGGAAACCACATAAGACGACTATTTCATTATGGACAGATCAGAACAGGTCATTATCCTCCACTTCAGAACAGGACAGACAATCTTACGTTACCAGTACACAAAATTCAAGACAGGCATATCAGCCTGTGCAACTGTGGAAAGGTACCCCAGACAGCAGAAGTGTTCTCCAGGACCACACTGAATTTGACTAATCAAGGCAAACCTTTAGGCTAGAAAGAGCAACAGTGGAACGTAAACTCTATGGACCACAGAACGAACTAAAAACGACAGTTAAATTAATACGAGAGTCACAATTGCTGATATAGACAACTTATTTTAGGCGAATGAAAGAAGCAGAAGATGATGTGGAGTTAAAACAAATGTTGGTGGTTGTCAGAAGAGGCTCCAATTTCAGGCATCAGTGGCCAGAGACAAAAAGAAACAATGGGGCAGACATATAGAAAAACAGAGAAGTCAAAGGCATGCAGTGACAGAAGTAAAGTAGAACCAGAGAAAAATGAGGTAAGGTGAGGCGAGAGAACAGGCAGACAGTGACAGAAAAGACAGTCAGTCAGTGATAGAGACGTGGGGAGACAGTCACAGAAACAAGTAGACAGTGCCAGAGACATGGGGAGACAGTGACAGAGACGTGGGGAGACAGTGACAGAGACGTGGGGAGACAGTGACAGAGACACAGGGAGACAGTGACAGAGACAAGCTGACAGTGACACAGACATGGGGAGACATAGACAGGCAGACAGTGATAGAGACATGGGGAGACAGTGATAGAGACATGGGGAGACAGTGACAGAGACAAGCAGACAGTGACACAGACAGACAGACAGTGACAGAGACATGAGACAGACAGTGACAGGCAGACAGTGGCATAGACATAGGGAGACAGTCAAAGAGACAGGGAATGCGATAGACACAGGAAGCCAGTGACAGAGACATGGGGAGATAGTGACATAGGTAGACAGACAGTGCAGAGACACATGGAGACAGTCATGTAGACATGGAAACAGTGACAGAGACATGGGGAGAGGGTGCGGAAATGGAGAGGGGCAAATACGAGAAGACCAGTGACACAGGGAAATAATGACAGATGGGGATAGAACGGTAAATAGACAGTCGGAGACACCCACCGAGAGGAGAGTGTGACAAAGACAGGGAGAGAGAATCAGACACAGGAAGAGTTAGTCAAACGGCCTGCAGTGTTCCCCAACATGATAATCCTACAAACACACCACAGTCCTCTCTTCCCAAGCAACAAACACAATACCACATTACCAGAGAATCTATATCACTGAGAGGCGAAGCAATCTCCGCTTTCAACCGTCCCATCCTGCCTTGTGGCAGAGCCTCATGCATCATGGAGAAGGTGTCTATGTTTGCCGAAAGTCCATCTGTTTCTCCAGCCTCAATACGCATTTCAACTGCCCAATGTCCACCAGCTCCAGATGGAAACTATGAGTCAGTAAGGACATACACTTCTCCATCCGAATGTTCCTTTTTAAACTATGCACTGTTCTTCGCAAAAATACTTTAAGGATCACAGCAGAATCGCGGAATCCATGGAAGTACTGATATAATTATGGATAAAACACATAAATCATGATAAAATAATACCCAACTTAGTAGAACATGGTATCAACATTTGTAGGTGGATTCTATGGCAGAGACGTCTACTCACACATAGGATTTTAAAGTCATAGGATTTTAAAGTCATAGAAGACGCTTTTCCCAAAACCAGCGGTACAACTCCATAGTCCCTAGGGACCGACAGTTACCTCCTCCTCTTACTGCTGCTGCCGCCGCCACCACCACTACTACTACTGCTGCTGCTTCTAGCAAAGAATAGAGAAAATGCTGTTTCCACAAAGTCGGAGTGCATCAGCATGATAGGCAAAGGAACCAACAGTCTGTTTACAAATAAACCAGATTTGTTAAAAAAAGGACGTGCATGGAAAACTCAAGTTCAGGAGTGGACAAACAACCAGAACTGTTCGCTGGAGGCGTATCAGGTCCCTTGATGACTGGAATCCTACATGAGGTGCACTGGAATCCTTCCTCTTCTGCGTTCCTCTTTCGGTGTGCAGAGATGCTGAGCCATACGTGGCAGTGCACGACGACCATGGCACAAACAGGCCTCGACCTATCTAAACATC